TTACCCGATAACATAAAAAAAGGATCCAATAATAATTGTCCAGCATCTAAAATATCAACTATAAAATACACGCAGCTGCATCAAATATATGAAATCTTCCCAATGTGTATTTCTTTAAGCCTTTTCCAACATTCAGTCCAACAAAATGAATAAAAGTATGTATGAGTTGTTTGGATACACTATTGGGTCGATATCTACATCCGCCATATTTTTAAAAATGCTACACCGATATAGTCAAAAATTATTGCATCCCACAGCATCGCAAAACCAACAGATAGTCAACAGATACTGTATACAGATGGTTTGGAATTTCAGCGTATTCAAAAAATATATATCTGTACACCCATGTATCCCCCAGGCCAGTAGGGGGCGACACCAAAACATCAGATTTCCAAATGATTGTTACTTTCTCAAACATACTAAACTGATATTTCCAACAGAAAGTCCAAATAAATAAATAAATAAAAACGTTAACATGAAGGGTGTTATAATAAAAATATGAAATCCCATCTGGTGCTAGCTCTTTTACTGCGGTAGCATGTTTATTTTGTTATTTTACCTTGAGCTTGGACACTCTGGAACAATCACTTCTAAACCCGGATCACCATTTCTACAAAACAAAACTCCGACAGACTGCCAATCTTTTATTGGATTATAATTTAGTTTAATTAACATCCTGGAAGTTATCCTCACAAAAATCTAATCCAACTACCATCTTAACCTTGTCAGGTTCTAATGCCACAATCCAAGCCAAGTTCAGGACAGTCAAAGAAGAAAATGATTTCAAGCTGTCCAGATTTACAAGCTATACACACTTCAGTCAGAAAAGTTTAGCCTTGTCCTGACCTAATGGTTCAATCTAATCTCCAAAGTGCTGCCTTCCTGTTAGAGATGTTATGAGGCTTCTGAAAAGAGAGAGAGGGGGAGTAAAAAAGGGGGGGCAGCAGAGTAAGTTTTCATGATGCCAACCCTTCCTGAACCCACTTAACTCATGGAGCACATATAACTTCATGGTGGGCTGCACCAGTCGATTTAGTGAGTTCCTGCTAACAATGAGTGGCATCCTGCTGGGTCGGCAGGGTTTAATTGCAGACCCGGGCAGTGAGGGCCACATGCCTTCGTAACTTAATAGATTGTAACCACAGTCAATGGCGATGTAAAAAATGTTAACACAACGTTGACTTTTCCTTTCGATTAACTGGCTTAATTGGGCACACATACATCATAAATCCATCCTCGTATCACAACTCAGACACGTTTTTTCACACCTACGTGTTGCTATTTTTCAACCTTTTCTTTCTGTTTCAGCCGATCTGTATAGTATAAACTTAAAGCAGAGGGATACAACGGTTCATAAGGAATAAAGAATGACAGGAAAAACGAATGAATGCAAGTTTAACTCGTGATGGATGGACTCGACTCCAGCTTCCTCCTGTCACATGTGCCCCTGGGCAAGGCACTTAACCCCCAGTAGCCCACCAATCTGCGTGTCGGGGTATGAATCTGAGCGCGTTAGTGATTGCTACTGAGTGAACAAGGCTCTAGTGTAAAGATCTTTGAGGGGTCAATCCGACGAGAAAGACCAACATGAAATCTAAACCATTTAATATGAAGCATTTTTTCACCGCAGGCAATGGAAGCAAGTTCAGAAGGACTGATTGATCACTGAAGAGATAAAAGATACACAGATGGATGCAAACTTTTTTCATTCTAGAATTTCTACATTTTTGATATACATTATAAGAACGCCGCATCTGCAAAAGAGTGGATATTATTTTTAGTAGGAAAATTATTGAATTTTACAGATTTTATCTAAAAGAAAAAATTATGTTGATAATGAGTTTGGAAACCAATACTTCCTGTTTAGAGCTTTTAGACACTAAAGGGCAGATTATACTTCTGCAACCGCACACATCAAATGTTGCTTGGGTCTGGTCGTGAACCAGTTCTGCTGGTATGCTTTTGCTGGAATTTCTAGGGACACACAGCAGTTTCCCGCCAAAGCGCAAGGGGTAGCCTATTCAAGAACTTCAGTAGATGGTCAAGAGAACTTCTGTGGCACCGGCAAGAGTGTTCCGAAACAACAACGTCGCATCTGCAAGACATGGTCACAGAGATGGATCTAGAGTTGCTAGACAACAAAGAGGATATATAATTTGTCTGAGGCATCATCCAAGTGGTTTTACTTCCGAACCTCCTCGATTAACCTTTCGTCGTAGTTGTACATTGTTCCTTGGTTTTTAGAAATGGCGTGCCCCGGCACCGAATCGGCAAGCACGACCAGACAGACAGCTGGAAAGGCATACCAAGGACCAATCACAGCTGCTTTTTGTCTGCGCACTCCCGCTTGAGGTCTTCCACGACTGTCCGGAGTGTAGTCAGAATTTTTTGAGGTGCCAGACGACCGTTGCAGAACCTCTGCACGGGGGACGTGGTCAAGAGACAGATTTGACGGTTGCAGAGGCTATGCATCAGAAGCATAAATTGACCTTAAAGCAGAACGTGAAGTCTGTTTGCGCCCCTGGTGTTTTGAAATACTGTGAATAATGCCATTAGTTTACAGCTGCGGAAGTGTTTATATCCACAAGTCGAATATGGTATCCATACAGAAAAATATGTTAAGGTATAATAATTTTAACTAAAGAGGGTAGAAAGAAGTAGGATGTAAACAATAAACAAATGAGAGAGCTAAGAATAGAGGGTGTACAACAGAACTGTGACACCAAAGTCCACCGATATTCTTGGGACATTTTTTTTTTAAAGGACTATTTACAGATTTTTTTTTTTTTTATAAGGGGTGGTTTTCCTACAAAGGTAAGAAACAAGGATAATATTTTAAAATAGTTGAAGGCAAACCGTCCGCAGTTGTTTATTTTTAGCCAATGGGAAATAAAAAAATGACATTTGCCACTTGAGACTGGTCAATTGGCTGAATGGCTGATAATCCCACGAAATCAACGTTTTCACCTTGTCAAAACCTAATTCACATATAATTGACCTGTTCTCAACACGTTATCAACGCCTTAACTGAGTGCGAAAAATAAAAATTTTGTGGATGACGTGCAAACAGGAGACAAACCGCATGTCAGTCACATGTTGTCAAAAGTCAAGTGGTTTTGAACCAGCTGGCTTTCCGTAGGCTGCATTGGTTAGCATGCACAAACACACAGGCTGTGTACGAACATCCGCCCTAATCCATTGCTGGCACTGCTGTGACAACAAATAATGCTTTGCAAGTAGAGCTCTTGCAAAGAATTCTGGGATATATCTGCTCATCTTGTGACCATGGATGATAAATTTTTTTCAAGGCGCATTGTAAGAAATTTCGAGTCCTCAACTTTTTCATCCACTAGACACTCAGACACTTATTTAAAAAGGCGTAACCACTATATAGTGCCCTATATAGGGATTAGGATTAGGACGAACATTCTGACACAGTAACTGTGTCTCGACGTACGCCATAATCCCTAGATACCACAATCACTATATAGTGCAGGGACTATATAGTGAGCTCAGTTAACTGACCATTCAGACAGATCATCACTACTTTTCACTCCCCGTTGGTCACATGACTCTTCCTCCCCACAAAGTGCCTGCACCATCTTTGTTATTTGCCGCTGCTGTTGGGTAGCGACAGCGGGCCACTACAAATCCCATAATGCTTTGCAAGGAGAGCTCACTACTTTTCAAGGTGCATTGTGGGAATTTCAAGTACACTACCTCTTCATCCACTAGATGTACGGACAGTCATCTAAAAATAGCGCAACCACTATATAGTGCCCTGTATATTGATGGGGGCGGACATTCTGACACAGCCAGTGTGTAGCTAAATATGCATATCATGGAGCATCGTGGCAGAAATGGGAAAGGCAGGTTCAAACTTATCCACTCTGGGAGCGACTACAGTTGGTTTTGGGGGCTGACTTGTCTGATCGGACCCCCTAGCTGACCAAGAAGTCAGGGGGATGCTTAATAGGGTTTTGTTTTTGCAGATCTAACTGGGAAATGCAAATACAGCAAAAACCAGACCTGAGAAAAACAAAAGCATGACCCAAAATTCTCCCTTTTTCAGACTGTGAAGGAATCTATTCAAATAAAGCAGTAAATGTAAAAAGGATCAATTCTGATCTTCATTTGACATCATCATCTTTGTAAAAATGCAGGTCCCTGATATATAGGTCGGGCCAATTGGTGGCGCTGTGACACAGAAACACAGCATACCAGCCAGGCATGCGCAGACGACTTTTGTGAGGTAAACACAGCTTCAGTTACAGAAAGCAATGATCTACATCATCATCCTTTCAGAAAGGTCACAGATAAAAGGTTGAGACAGAAACATGCTTGATTTATGTTGACACATCCATGCTGCATCTCCTCCAACAGAAGCTGTAACCACAAATATTGCAAACAAACAACCAAACCAATCTTTTGATTGTTTTGTTATTCTTCTGAGAATAAACCTAAAACAAGACAAAGCTGTTATCTTCTTTCATAATCTGTGACGGTGCTGTTAGCCTCAGGATACATGATGCACAAAAATCATTTTTTCTACACAAATTTAAAAATTTTCTTATTATAAGGGGGGAAAAAATAAAAAAAACACTGATCCATCGCCAGCTCAGGACCTTTAAACATTTCAGAAACATGTGTTGTGCAGTTACAGCAGGGGCCTCTCTCTCCCCCTGAATGGATGGTGTGGTACAGATTAACCAGACTCTGTATTGGCCTATAAGTGTTTGTATGGATGAAGGGTCTGCGTGCGTGTGTGAAAATCCAGCTCAACACACGTGCCTGCCCCTCTCCAGGGAACTAGGTGAAGAGCCACTCAGCTCCCTTTGAACCTCGGGCCATATGGCTCACAGCAGGTGTTATGTGCTGCACACTATAGCACTGTATAGTGTGTCTGGAGGACTGATGCAAGTAGCTTTACGGTTAGTTTGATGTGTATTCCACTGATATAAACACTTTGTGACCAATTTGGAGACACTTGTACCACTCACCTCATTGTCATGGTGCTGGCAGTAGCTCATCCTGTCCTGGAACAGGGACAGCAGGGCAAAGTTGTTCTGCAGGGACTGGGCGAGGGACACGGACACCCCCGGTGGGCCAGAGCTGCTATTGTTGGAGTTGACCCGGCTCAGGTGGAGGCTCTCGCCCAGGCGCTCGATGAAGTGGTCTTTGGTCAGCCGCACCCGCTGGTGCGCTCGGACGCAGTTGTCGCAGAGGTACTCCTGGCAGTCCAGGCAATGGGACGTGGCTGGGTTCTCCTCATCGCAGGAGCTACACTGAGGCTCCCCCATGTTCTGTGTGTGCAGCAGGCCCCCATGTGAAGGGTGGAAGCCAGAGGAGCCCCCAAGCAACCCCCCAAGGTGATGGTGGCCGTTCTTGTTCTGGATGTTCTCTTCAGAGCTCACCACCACGTCCAACAGGTTGCTGAAGAGGAAGTTGGAGGAAGGCAGGGAGTCCACCCCGGCCTCGGATATGGAGACCTTCTGGTCGCAGGTGGGGCATCGCAGCTTCAGGGGGTCACCGGGGCTGCGCTGCCCCTCCAGGCACTGCCTGCAGAAGGCATGCAGGCAAGGCAGGACGTGGAGCCTTTTGGTGGGGTGGTTGGAGGAGTTTGAGGTGTGAGAGGAGGACGATGAGGTAGAGGAGCTGGAGGAGATGGGAGCAGAGGAGCCACACAGCTCCTTACAGACCGGACAGGTCTGCAGGTCGGAATCTGGGAACGAAGCCATCTGTAGCAGAAACATCAGCTCACAACACGTGTGGGAAAAAATAAGTCTGAGGTATTCATCTGAGGCTGTGTCAGCTGGTTAGGCTGGACAAACTGGGGCATCTGAGGTAGATCCTTGAGGTATTCAGTCAGTTCAACTCACTTTTTAAATCTGATTATTTTGATTAGATGCAAAAAATCAAGGAGGCATCAAAATAATTAAAACATTGTTACTTCATAGCAAAATAAAAACAGATTATTAGGCTCATCTCTATTTGGCAAATGATTGAGCGAGAATCAGCAGGATTCTAATAAGATCATTAGAAAATGTTTATACATGGGAAGAGTCCCCTAAAAGTGGAGGGGTGCTGAGGTCCTGGAAGCGAAGTCTCTCCTCCCCCACCGAGCAGACAGCATGACTTCAGGGCCCCGCAGCAGCTGCCAGACCACCGGACAGGGCGCCGCTCCTGCCTCTCACCGTGTGGGGAACCAGTTGGACCGGACCTGCCTGGGCTCCACCATGAGGGGCTCCCTTCAGAGGGCGTCACGCGCAGCCGACAGCCGTTGGTGTGTTCTCAGCGCGAGCCGCGGACACGGAGCGCGGGCATTATTCATCCAAGCAGGGAGCTCCGGGTCACCGTCATAGAAGCTGGGCTCGCGCGGGTCCAGTCTGCCTCTACGTGTGGAGGAATGCGCAGGGTTCCGTCCCCCCCTCTCCTCCTCCTCCCCCCCTCTCCTCACCTCAAAGAGAGCAGAAAAACAGAGTAGCTAGCTCCAACGGCTCCTCAGTTACCTCCTTTTCTGTTTTGTTTTCGTTGCAACGCATCGGACACGCAGCGTCCGCGCTCTCTTACGGCGCGTGTTGCACGAGCTGCAGCTCCTCGAGCCGCTCTTATCAGACTGAGAGGAAAAAAATGGACTCACTTCCGTCCTGTGAGTGAAGACACAGCAGAATCAGAGGGGTGTGTGCCACAGGCGCGCTCCCGGCGGTCAGGGGGGTGTGCCGCATGCTCGCTCCCGGCGCTCGGGGGGGTGTGTGCGGTCACGTTGGGAGACGTGCGTACGTGCATGGTTCTGTTGGTAATGTTGGGGGAAATAGCTGAGGACAATGGCCCTCTGTGTGGTTCCGCTCTGGATGCCTTTTTCTGAGCTGGATCCGAGAGCAACCTTCATATATATATATATATATATATATATATATATATATATATATATATATATATATATATATATATATATATATATATATATATAGTTTTCTTATACAAATCCAATGAAATACTTTTATAATCACAAAGCACAACAAGCAAAGCTATTCATGTAGAATTGTATCAATAGAAAGGTTGTATAATTACAATAATGCACCGTGTTCAGTCTGTGTCACATAATTGTACATTTATCAATCTATAATTGTTAAATGTACATCTATATTTTGGGTCATTCTACAATTAATACTACTATATTTTCATTTTACTTAGTAGAAAGACTCTGATGGTCGGCTGACCAGTAAAGCCGCACTGTGACTCTTTCAGCCCTGCCTCAATATTTGCGAAAGGGGAGTTTTTTTTTTTTTTTTCCTGTATTTTTCCTTTGTCGATCATCTATAACTGCCCTGCAGGGTTGTCATGGTGATGATTGTCTCCAGTGGTCAGCAGGAGAGGTACTCCCTGGGTAGGTTAGAGATCCACCAGAGGCAAAAAAGAAAAAGAAAAAAAAACATATTAAAAACATATCTAAGAGCGATTCAGTAACACTACATAAACCTACCATGGATGATTTTTAGGCTGTTAGAGGAAAGAGAAGAGAATCCATGCAGGCTGGGAAATGAAATGCAAACTCCAGCAAAAAGAACCCTGACTTGAAATTTAACCTGGGAAACTCTTTCTGCAATTCAACAGTACCTTTAACTGCACCCGAAGTGAAACGGGATTATTCCTGCAATCGGTGGTTCAGTTTATATCTGTGCCCAACAGTGAAGAGGAAATCCTTTAATCCCTTTTTTAGATGAGCTACAACTGACCAGAGAAGAAATGTTTTGCTGCTGAAAAGGATTATCAGTACAGCAGAAAGCCAAATTTCAGTCAGTTTATTTCTATAGCGCCAATTCACAACATGTCATTTCAAGGTACTTTAGAGTTTAACCAGACCATACAGTGAAATTGATTCAAAATTTTCTAAGGAAAAGCAGTTGATTGCATCGACTCGTTGACTCAAATGCAATCCCTCACACTAAGCATGCTTGTGGTGACAGTGGAGAGGAAAAACTCCCTTTTAACAGGAAGAAACCTCCAGCAGAACCAGGCTCAGTGTGAGCGGCCATCTGCCGAGGCTAAATGAAATTTAAAGGGACGGAAGCAGAGATACAAAAGGCAGCTGTAAAAGGCGGCCCCATCCTGGAAACACACAGCCAGGCAGACGAGGTCCGAGCCAGCTCCCATGTCAGACGATGAAGAGAGCACATCCAGCCGGTCAGTCAGAGAAACAGGAATACACTGGAAAACAGGCCAATCTCGAACATCAAAAAGGGAACTTATCGACTCACTAAAGGTATAAATATGATTCAATTTGGGGTCTGAAAGTAATCGCCACACATTTGATGTTTTATTCAGGAATTTATCTTTTTTATTCTCATATGCTGATGTCCTTTTCTCATCTTCCCAGCACCCCTCTTTTAAAAGTCGGTCACTCCCTCTGGATCCCACCTCCTCTGTACAACTATCTCCAACAGAAGGGTGACACAGATGTACATACTCAGTTTTTGGCATTTTAGAGGCATATTCATGGTTTTAGGCTGCAGGAGGAAACTAGAGTATCCAGAGAGAACAGACAAAAACACAGGGAGAACAGGCAGACAGACACCAGGCTGGGGTTGCTTACTTTTGAAAGGGAAACTGCGCTAAAAACAAAACTGCAAAAAGTCCATTGCAAAATAAACTCTTGGGAGTTTATGTTGTTTGAATAAAACGTCATGGTCCAAAGCATGCCACTGGATTAGCCATCATCTAATATTCTCCTCCACTAATACCTTCTTAGACTTCTCAAGGTTACATGATACGCCCACCTGCTGCTCCTTGTATCGAATAAATATGTTTTGAAACAAAAAAAATTTACCCAAAACCTTGGGGGGAAAAAAAAAACAAGCAGCTCTGATGGATAAAATAAAAAAAATGCCAGTTTATTAAGTTAGGATGACCTTTTGTGGGGGTGATCATGAGACATTCAACAAACTAAATTTGACCCAGGCTGCTAAAGCTATAAACGATTTCTGTCCATCTGAAGAAAAATAAATAAAAACATAAGGACAAGAGTGAGGTGGTTGAAAAGAGAACAAACGGTTTATAAATATCCTGCAGGTTTCACCGAGGACACGAACAGCAACACACAAGGATGTGAGAGGGCAACCAAGGCTGAAGCAGAGTTTGGTGGGGGTGTGAGTATGGCAGCTTTGCTTCAGGCACAAAATGAAATCACACAAACAGTTCAGTGTTATGGTGATTAGCTCCTATGTTACACACATGGAGGCGGTGGTTCTGCCGCCGGCACATAATCTGACTGAATCCAAAGGAGTTGAGATCCTGTAAGACTGGGAGCAGCATGTGGAGGTCGGCAGGGCAGATTTTATGAGTGCTCATCATTGAGCTTCATCTCATGACTGCCTCATAGAGGGGGATATTTGTAGAAAGTGTGAAATCACTCCCAAGCGTAGTTTGCCCCCAGTGATGTCAGTGAGGCAGTTCACCATTTTTTGATCATATAACTGTAGGTTTATTAGTGATTATACAAATAGCTGCTGAGAAATTAGTTTTACTCTTGGAGAATAAATATAGCTCTATACTGCCCCCTGCTGGTTAAATAACTGGTATTGCAAGCTTTCTATAAAGGAGTGGAAAAGACTTTTGTCTCATTAGCAATCTTCACTTGAAAATGCTTCGACTGAAAGAAGTCCAGTGCAGGGGAGACTGGTGGAGTTTTCTCCAGGGGGGGCTATAAATTCAAAATAGATGTATATCACATTTATACTGATATGAATGCCAACAACAAACATATAAAAACACTTTATTAAAACAAAAATTTCATGTACAGGTTTACTTTTTGTACATAAATGTTGCCCTTCTGAGGCTTTGTGAAGGCAAATATGGGTTTTGCATGCTCCAATATGGCGTCACAGACCTAAAAATATTAATGTACCAGTTTAATAATGGAGAAGCTATTAGTTTTATGCTTTTTTAATATATAAAAACTATTTTCTGAGAATGTGTTTAAGAGTTTATTTTTGGTTGAAAATTAAAAAATAGGAAAAAATACACTATATTCTATTATTTTCCATGTGAATCCCAGATTGTTTATTCTTCTTTGCCTTTTCTAAAAAAGTCCTACCTGTCGGACAGGTGTTTTAAGTCTGTATATCCAGACTGTGTCCTCGTCAAATCACTGTTCACTTTTAAAAAGAATGCAGAGAAAACAACTCCTGCAACTGTCGTCGTCGCCATAATCTGTACCTCACTGCCTGCCTACTAGCTATATCACCTATATCACTGTAGCAGGGGAAAAAATTCCAGGAGCCCAAAAGCCATTTATTTTGGCAATGCTGATTGGCCGAATATTTATTAATTTTCCCTAGCAACATTATACAATTGTTTATTTTCCTACATTTCAGGGGCGCTTTGAATGAGTGCCCAAGAAGAGCAATGATACGTTCTGTTGGTTGAATTGGTGGAAGTGTTGTTTTAATAATTCATATTACATGTAGCCACATACTATTAAGTAAAACTGACATTGATAATACTTTTAAAATCTATGTATATATTATGATTTTTCCCCTCTACATCTAGGGAGGGCAGCCTCCGAGCGCCCCCTATGGACCAGCCGCCACCGGTTCAGTGTAGCTCTACAGGTCCTTTGCTTTAATCTTTAACATGTTTCCCTCAAGGATTTGTTATCAAAATCCATACTTGTATCCAAACCTGCTTGGTTTGTTACCTGCAAAGGAAAAGCATCCCCACATCATGCTGCCGCCACCACCGTGTTCAGCCTGAGGCATTGACAGGGTTTATACAGGAATGAGCAACTTTAATTCAATGCATTTTAATGTTCTTAGAAATATTTTCAATGCTATCAACAAGTACCCATGACTCGTATATAACACGGCAAAATACTTTGTCATCTTTACCGTCTACAGGCTGCAGCAATGTCCCGAATTCCTCATTTTCCAGCCACTTTTGTTGAAATTTGCATTTTCCCCATTCTCTAGCTTTTTCTCTGCCCCAGCCTTCTTTTTGAAACATACGGCTTTACGATCAACCAGAAGCAGTTCAGCGCAAACACGTGGAACCAGTTATATCTGATATATCTTACAAAATTGTTTTTATAAACTTTTTTTTTAATTAAAGCATTTTAAATGCCACAATAATCACATTTAATGAATTTTAATGCCAATTAAAGCCTTAATTAAAAAATTATGACTTTTATTTGATTTTTAATGACCAGAATACCACTGTAATCCTTGTACTCGTAATCCATATGTATGAGTTTTCCTCTGAACAGAACACCTTCTTTCACACATGGTTTATAGCAGCAATAGAATTTCTTTTTACTAAACTTCACCAAGTGTCATTTTTACTGAATCTCCCGGATGAACCAAGAATGTCTGCAGCTCCTCCAGAGCTACAGTCAAACTTTTAGTGACTGTTTATTACACTCGCTGTTCGTTCATGTGTGAAAGTCACAATATACTCATTTCTTAATTTTATTTTTTTCCACAATTTTTATTTTCTTGGATTACTTAAAAAACCCTGGTTTACTCTGGTGAAACCATAACATGCGTTGAGTCTGATAAATATTCTAACGTATTTGATTAAAAAGTACCAAATAAATAGAATTTTAAGATGTAAAATAAATAAAACTATACAAATGTTGGACTTTAATAAGCCTTAATTAAGCTCATAGATGTTTAAGT